CACACACTACCATTCTTCTTACATAAGACTGACTGATGGCCACTGCAAATATATGCAGACATTCCCCATTTTTTTTATTTTATCATTCGAATTTTGATGATGGAAATCATTTGTGGCTAATGTATACTCGGACCACACATGGAGCGCGTACGAAAAATAACATTGTGTGGTTCGAGTGTGTAATTGTTAGTATAGGTGTATACTCGACGGAAATTACACGGCACGTATACTCGAGAGGTGGGCATTTTGTCACGTGTCTGGGCTGACGTCATTGTAGAATCGTGACTGGTCATACGACAAATTCCGGAACCAATAATGTTGAACGTGTCCATAACGCTTGGCCTCATAAACCAAAAGACCTAGCCTACATCTCCTTTGAAGCCGAACCCAAATCTCACCATTTTTTTATTTTTCTCTTAATAATTCTTCTATTTAACTATCCCAAGAATGATGCAACTGAACTATTAAATTTATGTTAATATTCTAAACGTTTTTTAAACCGAAGATTAATAATTCTAATCGAAACAATTACAGTTTCGTTCTACATGTAAATAGTTTTATAGTTGTATTTCTGTGAATTATTTTAAACAATGTAACTAAATTATCAAAACAATGATATAATTCTAAAATTTAACGTTACATACACAATTTAAAGAGATTTATCTCGCTCTAAATCTTTTACATGCAAAATAACATAGTTTCAGCGGGTTCTGACGTTTATTTTGCATTGAAACTATATAGAAAACTCCAAGGTACGTTTTATAATATTTTGTATAAGACATTAAAAAATTCGAATTTAATCAAAATAATTTTAAAAAAAAATTGTTAATGTAGCAAAGACAAGTTTTTAGCATTCGTTGAAATTCCTAGACAGTTATTTCACATCTCTATGGGGTGCAACTTTCGGGCCACCCCACATTTAGCATAACTTAAATCCTGAAAGTATTGTAACGCCATAAATTATCTATATTATGCATGCGACAGCTTTAAAATTGTATTTTTATTATTTTTTTTTTCCCGAGAACTACGTCTAAATAATGCAACTTGTTATAGTGCAAAAGGTTTTTAACCCTGAACCTCACATTATCCTGAATGTGCTCGGATTTAAAGATATTTTTAATTCTCCCCTATGTGACCATTCTGAATACGTTATAGTCTGGCTCTAAACATTTTTAGCGTTTGAATGTAATATTCTTGAAAATAACATTTGCACTAAACATTCTTAACAGTTGAATTCCTGCAGTTCTATAGATTTTCTAAGTCCTCTTAAACGCGATGCAGCCTATAAAGCAGTTTTTAAAGCACTCCGAACGCTTTTTAAGACACTACAACTATATTTAAGATAAGTCGTAGGTGTAAAGCTCTTATAACAGAAGCTCGACAACTCCCTTTCGCTGTAGATCAAAGGACTTTTATCTGGTCTCATCCCATTGAAAACTTCTTACAGTAAATCTTTCTTGGCTCAAAACTTTCAACTTGGGAAGAATAAACCATTAATTTTACAGCCGCTAATTAACTGTCATAAGTACAGTATACATCAAATTAAATTCTTTTTTAAAAAAGGAAGCAATCTAGATCCTCGCTGTATCTAAATAGCCATCAGTAAACTTCAATTAAAGTTCAAAAGGAACATATATAAAATTTTAAACAGAAGCAAATGTAAGTCGGTTGTCGAAGAAAATAAAGAATCAGATGCTATCCTTTGATTTAGAATTAATAAAGTAACAGATAGATTAATCTTGTATCCGAGTTTATCGACCTCAGCCGCTAAACCCTGAGGGAAGCTGAAGAAACCAAAGAAACTAGAAGATTGTTTCCTGTATTTCTGACCACTCGTTCTTTATATTAATTCTTTTGTTTACATCGGGTTCAATGGGTTCGACAGCACGTGGATAGCACGTGTTAGTAAAATATTTAAAAGGTGTATCGAGACGGCAATAAAGTTATAATGACTCCACCGAAGTGGGTCTTTTCTTACAGTCTTCACAATGGAAACACGCTGGAGGCGTTTAAACTATAGTTTTCTTGTTAATATCCTTCGGGTCCGTGTTTAACTAGTAATTATGGACATTAGCTTGTCCAGATAGCCTACAGGACAGGAACGTGACGCTCTCTTTGTTTGGACGTGATTAGACTCGATAAGGGAGCTTTGTAGATTCTTGCTTAAGTCATTAGTTGGATAAATACATTTTTGAATAATACTTTAAACCATTTTATAAGATGGGAAAAAAGTCTTATTGCCTTCTTGAGTTTAATCAAATTTATAGAAGTAGTTAATATATTTATAGAGGGTTTTGTGGTGTGTCATGCAACTCGGACGTTGTATTCTTCATATCGGACAGTTTGATGGATTAACCAGTATTTATTCTTTTTTTGGATTGCGTGCAATCTTCACAGTTCGATCTTTTTTGCTTCACTTCTCCAAATAGAACGTTTTCTGTTTATAAGAAAAAATCATACACTTCTGCTTAAAGTTATATTTACAAAATTCGATTGAATATATCTCCCAGTACACGTTATGTTTATCTTACAAGGAGATAATTGAAATGTTTAACGGATACATCGATAATTTTTTTTCCTCGAATGTACGCAAAATTATTTTATTTATAATAAATGCGTGTCTTCGTATCGTTGGCGCCTCGTCATATATATACACACACACACACTTAAATAACATTTTGAAGGGAAAAGTTTTATCAAAATTCGGAAATTCCGCTTGTTTAGTTGTCTATAAAACTTAGGAAAAGTGTGGAAATTTTTGTAATTTTTTGAAAAGAATGTTTATTTTCTTTAGAAAATATCATCTCGTGTTATTTACTAACCGATAGAAAACATTTAAAATTCGAAAAATATAGCCTTAGGGAATAAATTCGCTACAAAAATGATATTCGAATGTACACACCATAGAGTAAACGTTTCACAAGAATAGATTTAAGTTCTTAAAAAGCAGAATTTCTCTTTTTTAATTCTATCCTGCGGGCTACCAATGATCATTTATGCATTATGTTATTATTACAAGAAGACGACATTTTTTTATTGGAAGAATAAATATTTGTCTGCTATCTCCGAAGTTGTTTTTTTTTTCTTTGTGTTTTACTCCTTTCTATCTCTTTTGTTACTTCGCTTTTTCGCGATTAAATCGACGTCCTTTCCGAGAATTGCCGTTAAACGTCAGGCACGGACTGAAGTCTGTCCCTTCGACGTCATTAACACGTGCACCTAGATTCTTTTATCTGAATATACGTAATGCTTACGTCATTAAAGTTGCTACCTTTTCTCTTTTCTTCGATCTAAGAAAATGGGAAAAATTTTCTCGAATAGATTACCATAATGTAAGAGAAAAGTGTCTTTTTACCAACGTTCCTCGTTTAGTTACGATAGAGAGCGATAATAATAATGCAGCGCGACTCGAATGATAATTAAATCGTTTAATCGATGCGGTTACGACCGACCCAAACTACCGATGGCCCTATCAATTTTCACTAAATTTGGAAACACCAGTTAATTACAGGTTTTGCCAACATTCGTAAGGAGTACAACGCAAAATTACACGAGAACCCGCCATAAGATCCGTATCGATTTTCAATAAGTAGCGATAGAAAGGCGCGTATCTGCTTGTATCATCGAGTAAACGAACGATTGAATAATAATTATTCGAAAAATTAAAAAATAAAACAAGAAAGATCTAAGCCATTGAAGAATTTTTAAAATTACCTGTTTTCGAACGAGAACATTTATCAACAGCTGTCTATAACATGTCGCAACATGTCGAAAAGTTGAAGCGGAGACGCCATTTTTGACCTTAAAACTAATTTTACTTCTTTAAAACTTCCATTAGACTGGCAGAAAAGTTGGCTAATTCTCAGAACAGTTTGGTTTCCAATGGGTGTAGCTTATCGGCATTGGTCTATAAACTCGCTAGGTTGTCAGAACCATTTTTGGTCTTCTTAAAACTGGCTCGGTACACATGAAAGATGCCGAGAATTTGTGCTATTTAGGTAGATAATTTTTTAAATTGACATTAAGCACGTTTTTAATTATCTCGTAGTTCACTCAATGGAATTTAATAGTTGGCTTCTGTCCGTCTACGTGTAGGTCAGGGTGTACGCTACGAGTTCGTGATTCACGTGTCCAACATCAGAAGATTAAACTCTATCAATATTACCAACCGGTTTGCTAGTGAATGAGATGTGGCCGGACCGAGTTTGAGAAGTAATTATCCAGCAGAAGGCGAAAAAAACTGTTTGTCTGTGTGTAGTATTGCTTATACGGTCTCTTCTTATCACCTTCGAAGTCTTTTGGAAAGCTGTCAACGCTCGGATACAACAGTAGCTTTCTAGATAGGTGTGGTTGCATGAAGTTCACGTAGGAAGATGCCTTGTCATGTAAACGGGTCGTGTTGTCAATCACCTAACACAGAAGGCACCTTCGGTTAGAAGGGAAAAAATTCGCGTTACATATTGATGAATGGGTGTGGAAGAATCAGTTCAAAAAACGTTGATAATGTGGTGACGGATCTGCAGATGCTATACCGGAGATAATGTTTTTAGCTTTCAAATATTTTAAGCTCGATAAAAGAAAAGAGACACCACGTGATAAACGTGATTCACGATGTCTTTCCATCACGACACTCGACGTCCGAGATAAGAATCCAAACAAAAAATAGTCCGTGTAGCATATTTACTACCTCGTAGAATTATTATTCTAGTAGAATAGTACTGATTAGTTTAGGGCTTTAGATGCAGGATGGCCTCTGGTGATGTCATCTTTTATTACGCTAGGAATCGAGTGGGAAGCTCTACAAATCACTGCCGCTTCGGGGTATAGTTAAACTCTAGATATACACACACAAACACCTCTCGCGTCTAGTCGAGGGCATAAGGCAGGTTCTTTAAACCTTCTACTCCTAAAATCAATATATTACTTACTTTTCGTCACTTAAAAAGCGTGGAGAAATGTTGTCTACTTAACGCTAACGTTGGCAAAATAATCGCTAAACTAATCTACGGGTTAAAGGGCGATATGCTTTCTTTTTTTTTAATTTAACTTTTATCCGAGACGGAAATTACCCACAATTCCATGTGATTCGTAACTGTAGCTGGGGTGAAAGGTCGCGATGGATGTTTTAACCGCACGGGAGTCTTTCCATTGGTCAATGATCGGGTCACGTGGGAAACAGGAGGTCAGACGTTGCGTTCGGTGATCTGGTTTTAGCGGGGGATGAAATAAGCTTTGGGACAACACGCCCAGAGCCGTAGTCGCTGCCATGGCTTCGTCTTTCATACACGAGAGTTTTAACAGCAGCGTGGACTTTCCCACTTACATACCTTGGCAGACTCTATCCTCGGATCTATCCGATAAGCTCAAACACGGATCGCTCAGGCTCAATAGGAGTAACAGAATCGAATATGCGACCATCCACGAAGAAGGGGAGAGGGTGCCACTCTCCGAAGTGGAACACACTGGAAGTATCGTCACACCGGCGGTTCGATCAGGTAAATTTGCATTTCTTCTTTGAGAAAAATGTGTGTAGGTGACACGCTAAGCCTGACTTGAAAAACAAAAAAAACATTTTCCTGTCGGAACGAATTGCATAACGTTTATCAGAAGAAAAAAAAGTAAGCATGTGATATATTCTGCAGTTGTTGGGTAAATTTTAATATGTCCGCTTATAACTGGAAAAAAGTTGTCATTAGAAAAGAGTTTTAACACCAGAAAACTTTATATTAAAATAAAATTTCGAGTTTGGTCTCATATTAAAAAATATATATATAATATTAACTGATAATAGGACAGAATTTAATATTATAGACACGTAAGTTAGGTATTAGAAGCTACAGAATATTGTAGATATTAAAGGAATTTTAATATTATATAACACAGAAATTAGATTATATTAAAATTTTAATAATTAAGAGATTTAGAATAGTTTAATTATAATAATTTCAGAGAATTAGATGAAAATGAAACATTGGATATTGCAGAAAGTTTTAATACTTATCGGAACTTTTAATGTTGGCCCGATAGGAAAATATTACTTATAAAGTAAAATGCATGAAGATAATTGACACAGAAAATTTGGCATTAAAATAGTTTAACAGTTTAGTAGTTTATTAAGCTCTGTTAGATGGTGCAGATACATTGGAATTAAGGGAAGTTTAATATTTCACGATGCATAACGTAACGATTAGTGAACATTTTGGTATTAGATGATGCAGAAAGTTTGGTATTAGCGACTAGTTTAATATTAAGCACTAGAGAATAATGTTAATAGACTCTGTTATGCTAAAACTATCGATAAGTGCTCGTCGCACACTCTCTCGTTCGGTGTAACACCCCTTACTATCGATGATGCAAAACCATATGCAAATACACAGATATGACTTATGTTTATACTAATTGTCACTTATTTGTTTTACAAATTTTAGGGGTCCATAAAACCGAATTTATCATTTTAACACCGTCACATGTCTATATTCAGTGACTTTGACCCTGTTTTTGGCGAATGTCCAGAGGCCGAGATAAAAGTATACTGTAAATTGCTCTTCGCTATCGTTACATTAGTGTTAAATTTTAAGTTTTTTTTTTTTAATATTACGGATCGTTAAACTGGAAGAAAATCTATTCAACGAGTCTAACTAAGCACAGTTATGAATAATTGTAATAATATAAATTCCGAAGGTAATTATCGTATATATGCGAGAAGATAACTTATTTATACATAAATTTATAGAAAAATGATAACATTTTATCTCGCTTAGATATGGTAAAGATAATAATTTAAAAGAAAAATTTTACTTTTAATTTTTTAATATAAATTTTATACTTTTTTTTAATACCGAAAAATCCCCAAAAATAATAAATAACAAGCCAAAGATCTTATAAAAAGCATTAGAAAGTATTAAATTACTTAGAGACGTCTGTTAAGAGGGTGGAAAAAAATAATATTTTTTTAAAGGGATGCTGCTTAAAAACATCCTTCCTTTCAGAATTTGATATCCTCTAAACGTTAAACTTAATATATAATATTTTTTTTATTTTCTTAATAAATTGCATAAACAGTTTAATTACACTTAGTCCCCCCCTTTGATTCTAGTATAGTCTCATATTATAGTGACGTCAGAATATAGAGCCCAAATTTTCTTCTTGAATTGGTGCTAGCAGCTTTGCATACGTAGAAAACGTTACTGTAACCTATTTATCCAAATCTGTTGCATTTAGGCCCCTCCGAAATGAATAAAAAAAAATCAAGAAATATATATTTGTATTAAACTCAATTAATCATTAACCAAAATACTAATTAATTTCTTGTTATAGTTTCTCAATTAAATGATTTTTTTAATTGTAATTCATGTTTTAAATTAATGCTTAATTTTTTTCCCTATATAAAAATTCTAGTGAATAATGATTAATTATTATTATTACCATTATTATTAATTTTATATAAT